TGCACATGTACTGCATTGCTTTTTATGTAATTCCATACATTTACTTTTATAGCCCCTCCCAAATTTTACTTGCATTCCTGTTCTCTAAAGGGGCGGTCCTAGGGTTTGATGAGGGCGTGGCCAGGTTTGGGTGGGGGCGTGGCCAGGGGAGGGAGGTGAGTTCCACCACCTTTTCTCTGAGAAAAAAAGCCCTGGATAAGACACAGAAATTAAAGAACTGAAGATGAAAGATGAAACATACAAGTTACAAGCATTTGCTGATGATCTAGTATTTATTCTAGAAGAACCTTTAGAGATGATTCCTAAGCTATGGGGAAAGATAGAACAGTATGGAGAAATGGCGGGATTAAAAAATAAATAAAGAAAAAACTAAGGTAATAGTTAAGAATCTCATAGATAAACAGAAAAAGCAAATGCTAGAGAAAATAGAGGTACAGATAGTGAAAAAGTTAAATATTTAGGCATATATTTTTCGGCCAAATGTTCGTCAATAAAAGAAGATAACTATACAAAATTATTGAAACAAATAAAGCTGGACTTGGAAAGATGGAAGAATTTGCAATTGTCAATATTAGGAAGAATTGCTACAGTTAAAATGAATGTATTGCCGAAGATTTTATTTTTGTTTCAAACAATCCCGATAAAACTTCAGAAAAAATTCTTTCAAGATTTAAACTCATTAGTTTTGAATTTTGTTTGGCAGCGGGAGAAAGCTAGAATTAAGATGAAAACATTACAAGACGCTAAGAAAAATGGAGGATTTGGGTTGCCGGAATGGACATTGTATTATCAAGCATCTGTTTTAACATGGGTGAAAGAATGGATAATGCTTAGAAATAAAAGGTTGTTATATTTAGAGGGGCATGACCTACAACTGGAAAATCAGGGGATCAACCTGTCATGGTGGGCACATTTACAAAATAGATATGAAAAAAACATGAAAATGTATGGATTTTATAAAGATCAAACTGTATTTGATAAGGTTTTGTTAACCTCAGATGAGAAATTAATTAAGAAAATGTACAATTTTTTGCTAATTTTGGAAATGGAAAGTGAACAAGTTAAAGAAACAACGCTAAGATGGGTGAAAAACTTTGGCCACAATGTAGAACTAGAAAAGTGGCAAAAATTATGGGAGAGAAATTATAAATTAACAATATAAAATGTTTTATAGATGGCACTTGCCACCAGCAAGATTAGCAAAAATCTTTAAAAATATGTCAGATAGATGTTGGAAATGTAAGCACAACTCAGGCACGTACTATCACATTTGGTGGACATGTGGCAAAGCAAAGGCCTATTGGAAAAAGATACATGCTTGGTTAGAAAAAATACTAGTGAACATCTTGATTTTAAACCTGAACTTTTCTTACTAGGTATAATGCCTGAAAAGATTAACAAGCAAAGTTTATATTTGATTTTACACATCGCTACAGCAGCGGGAATAATCTTTGCGCAATATTGGAAGAATGAAAGACTACCACCAGAGGAAGAAATAATCAGAAAAATATTGGAATGCGCAGATGGACAGATTAACTATGAGATTGAAAGATAAAGAAGATATAGATTACTACCAAACTTGGGACTTATTTTATTGTTGGTTAGAGGAAAGAATGAAGGATTAGGAATTGAATATGTATTAGCATAGCTGATCCCAGACAGTTGGTTGAAAAATTAACATATGTATGTAAAAGAAAATTAATAAAAATTTCATTAAAAAAAAAATAAAAAAATACATAAGCCATGTTGTAGCTTGGCACAATATGGAACTATTTATTATTTGAAAGATGCTAAGTAAGACTATGTCCCTTAAACAGATTTGGGCAGCATTAACTTCATAGACCAAGCCTTCCCCAAATTAAGGTCAATGTGAAGCCTTCCTTCAGACAAACTTGACCCTTGACTATATCAACAAATCCATTTGGGGTATTTTTAGCAACACTAAAATCATGAACTCCTTCCAGTATTTGGGAGGATGGAAGAGAAAGGGAGACACCTTGGGATTTCTTAGTGGTTTTCCATCCAAATACTAAGCAGGTCAAGCCTACTTAGCTTTTATGAGACCTACCACCTCTAAATGAATTCAGCTTCAATACTTATAATAATCACCTGGCACCAATTGGAAGCCTTCAATATGAGAAAGCCAATTTGTTTTTAAGATACCTAAAACAAGTAGCATACTAGTTGGCAGTTATAGTATCTCTGCCAAGTTCTGAGGTAGCAGTATGAACCTGAGACTGAATTTCGAACAGAATTCTCTGGCTGAAATTTGTTTAACTCACGAACCTTCACCCTCATCCTACACCCGATATTTGCCACTATTGCAGAATGCAGTACCGCAGGTTAACTCACTGCTCACAGTCAGCAATTTGATCCTGGCCGGCTCAAGGTTGACTCAGCCTTCTATCCTTCTGAGGTCGGTAAAATGAGGACCCAAATTGCTGGGGGCAATATGCTGACTCTGTAAACCGCTTAGAGAGGGCTGTAAAGCACTGTGAAGTGGTATATTGCTATTGTTATCTGAGAAGCAAAATAACTGAACTGTTGTTTGTTTCTGGATGCCTTGCCTTTTTTTTTTACCATAGCAACAAAGTGATGACAGAGTTGTTTAACATACTTGCAAGGGTAGTTTTCTGGACTTCTTGCATGGGTATGAGGTTCTTGGGATGCCCATGATTGACAGGTTTTTCCTGTTTCGGTCACTCCTACATTTCCTCGATAATCTTCTCCATTTCCAACAAGGCACTGTTGGCCCGTAATAGCTGGCAGAGGTATAGCTATATCCGCAAAGGTAATGCAAAATAAATCAGCACCTTTAGACTCTGTATGCTAAAAATTGCAAGGCCCTGGCAATCCAGAGGTGAAAAGCCAAAAAAGCTACTGCATATGAAAAAAAAAATCACAGATAGTTCTCGTTTAGTGACTGCCTCATTTAGTGACCATTTGCACTTACCACAGTGATAAAAAAGTAACTTTGTGAACAATCCTTGAACCTTTTCAGGTCTGTAAAGCAAAGGAAAGCTGTAGAAAATCATAACCAGTTTCACTTAGCAGTTTCACAATTGCTGGTCCCAATTGTTGTTACTAAATGAGGACTACTTTGAAAATATAGACATATAGAATATATATGCTATCTAGACAAATAGAATATATGTGCTATTTTCTTAAAAGCCACTTGTGTATATGTTTTACATTTATAAAAGAGAGATCACAGAATAACAAGATGCATTGAATTGGAATGCATGGATTGTAGCATAAAATAATAAAGCTCAAGCTACACGTTATATTGTGATACCTTAATTAAAATATAGCTAATAGCCATCTATTAAAGTGAATATTTGATAATAGTTTGCCTGTTATCAAAATATGTATTATTAGATTAATATTTCACTTGAACTAAGCTACAATCCTGGTGATTTGATGGTTATATGACTTAATATCTGTTCATATTTCTGTGAGAGTGAGAAAAAAATAACCCACGTGGTGCCCGCTATAAATCTGCTTGGGAACTTACTTTTATTTTCCAAATTACTGTACATTTTTCCACTTGAGCAGCATTAACGATGCCTTTTTTGAAACTGGTTGAGTTTGTCAGTTATGTGAGGCTCGACACTCAGTTTATCCCATTTTTAAAAGCTACAGCCAATTTTATAAGATTAAAAGGAATCCCCCCCAAACTCTCCTACTTGAATTAAAACATTGTTTTCTCCACAGAATTGTTACTATATTGTGATTATTGCAGGACAGTAATTACATAAATGATACTTACCGCACCGTGGAATATCACAGAATTCCCATCGTTTTGTCAGGAGGGAGGTGAAACACCAAGGACGTGGCTCACCATCAGGATTACGACAGTAGTTTGATATCAAATTCTTTTCTGGGAATCTGAATATTGGATGAAAAGGTAGAAATGCCTTTCTAATCATCTCTTGACAGGTTGGGGTTGAACCCAATGGTGTTTCAATGTTGACAGAATGGTGTTCACCCAAGATCATGTATTCCTGTATTCCTCTTCCACAGTACCACATTCTACGATCTCAAATTTCTTTCTGTTAATCTCTCTAGTTCAGAGATTACTCAGAGCAGATTTGATGTGTGGGAAATAAAGGCAGAGGAGAAAAAGGAAAAACTCCCTTTGAATCCCCAGAATTTCCTTTGGATGTAGCCCAATATCACCTCAGAAAACTATAAATGTGGGTGTTGGGGAGTATGCGTGTGTGTGTCAAAATCCAAGACAGTAAGGCTAGTGTGACTGAATGCATCGATGGTAATATGTAAAAAGGGACAATGACTTTTATTTTATTTACACCTAGCATCTTGACTTTTTTTAACCACCTGCCCTCTGGGCAGATATCTCTGCATGTTAAATTACATTATTTCTGTTCACATATCTAAGCTAAAAAAAAAAGCAACCAAAAACTTATTTATTAGATGCCAAAACTTTTAGTTACGATAGAGATGAAAAAATGCTACTTTCAGTCACCCTTAATGAAATTTGGAGTAAAAGACTTTCCAGTGAACCAGGTGTGCTGCTTAATAGATTACATTAAAAAATAATGTAAATATTGTGCGTTTATTTCCTAGATTAGCTTTGGGAAGTCCTGGGGGGGGAGGGGGGATAGGGGTAGGTTGGTATTATAGATTTATATGTATATATATGTATGATTTTTTAAGGAGGTGCCCGGTGATACCCCAACTGCACAGACGGGTGGTTGAGTGAGAAAGGGAGGTAGGAAAGAGGGAGGAAGGAGGAGTGGTGGTAGGATGGGAGGAGGAAGGTGTAGGTAAGTGAGAGGGTGGTGCAGGAGGGGGACACCGGACACGTCCATGAATGTATTGATTAGTATTGATTCTTTTTTGGTTGATATTGTGATAAAAGATCTATGTTTTTGTTTTTCAATGAAAAATTAATAAAAATTTGTTTAAAAAATAATAATAATAATGTATGCTGTTATTTTCCTTTTCAAGGACAACAGTTACCTGAAATGATTTGTTTCCCACACACACTTTCACTTTTCCCCATATGTCACTAATAAGGGTCCATGAGTGAAACTGAGGATTGTAGACTTACTTTGAAGGAATGTACCCGTGAGCATGGGGCTCTTGGGAAGCCCACGCCTGGCACGTGAGCCCAGATTCCGTGGTGGAAGCTTTGCCTCGATAGTTTTCCCCACTGCAGTGCATACACGTCTCTGTAAGGATAAATAGCAGGTTTATTCTACTAGATTATTATTTTTTTCCTCCCCTCTGGATGGTAGGAATCATGATGCCCAAGTGTTCTTCTGTCTGAAACGGGATCTGTTATCCTAGGTTGCTCAGCGATCACATTTCTCCTTTTATAAGGAATCTAGAATGGTCAGGACGCGTTCTTGAAATTGCTTTGAGCTAAATCAATCTAAACACAAATTATACATTAATCTTTTCATTTTGTCTTTATAGATGCTTAATTTACGCTATGGTGAGAGCCAGTTTGGTGTAATGTGAAGGCATCAGGTAAGGTTAGAAACCAAGAAGTTGTGAGTTCTAGGCCTTACACGCAAACACACCTATTGACAATGTGTTTTGATTTATGGAATGATTTTTCTTGTTTTTATCTTAAGGGAATCACATTTGGGGGTGATCAGATATGGGCTGCTAGACAATTTTTCTCTGCTAATTTATTTATTGTTTTATTTTTTTCATGCGCTAAATCTCAAGGGACCATGATAATCTTTAGCACCTTGCAGCCTTGGTATGATGATTTGCCAAATCCTTAAAAGATATTACAATAGGACAAATGGGGAGCTTTTCTCCAGTGTATTACAAAGTTTATATAATACTGTTCACAGAATTTCTCACTTTGCTCAGTGCTTTGCAAACTTCTGCCTAAATCTGGCATCTGTGTAGACATGCATTGATGTAAATGGAGCAAATGGTGCCTAGAGGGAATGCACTGAAATAAAGTTCATATCCATCATACAATACTTTTGTCTTTTAAAAAAAGGAGGCATTTACAAACAAAAGAACATCAAACTATTGACTAATAATAGCTTAAACATAACAATAACTTTTAAATATAACAACATTTGAATCGTCCTAGGTTTGCAAATGTTTCAACTCCTGTTAGTTGTAAATGTTTTAAAACATTACCATTTTCATTATTATCAAACTATTTCTATTTATGAAATGCTATTGTTAGAGAAGTTATACGATTCTCGAGAATAAGTCTATTGCAATTTTTTTTTTATTTTAAATTTTTTATTATTTTTCATTTAAAAAACATAAACATAAATCTTTTATCACAATATCAATCAAAAAAAATAAAATTAAACAAAACATTCACAGACGTGTCCGGTGTACCCCTCTCGCACCACCCTCTTCCACTTACCACTCCCTCCTCCTCCCTAATTCTACCACCACTCCTCCTTTCCTCCCTCTTTCCTACTTCCCTTCCACACTCAACCATCCCGTCCTGTGCAGTTGGGGTACCACCGGACACCTCCTTAAAAAAAAAAAATCATACATAAGTCTATTGCAATTTAATATAACCTGTTCTATATCATGAAACATACATAGGTTAATTAGATTTAAGTAATTATCATTCCACCTTGATCACTTCAACCATACTGTTATAATTATGTTCACACTTTATTTTATTTGAAATAGAAAATAAACATTTATTTTCTTTGTGATCCTGGTTAGTGACCATAAAAAAAGAATGAAATAACATCATGTCTAGTGGGCACTTAATACTACTACTACTACTACTACTACTACTACTACTACTAC